TTCGGCCGGATTGTCGCGATGGTGTCGAAAGATGCACACGTCTTGGCCGAGTCAACGGCCACCGAGTCCTCCGGTCTCGTCAACCGAGTCTGTCGAGTGCTGCGGCTCGGCTCGGTTTGTGTGACCAGAGACGAGAAGGTCGAGGTGGCCAGTCCGTTCAGTCTGTGCTGGAGGCGGATGGACTCGTCGCTGTTCAAGCCCAGCGTCGGGCTCGGCTCGTCTCGCTCCTGACGAGCCTCTCGGTCACCGGCTTCAACGAGGCCAGTTAGCAACTCTGAAATGGTGGCGACCTGCCGGCTCGAAGAGGCCCCCATCTCCTCGGCCAGCATGAAACCGGCGTCGGTCGCCTTGTCAACCGTCACTTGGCAATGGAGCAGAGAATCCGTCGACTCGCCTCCTTCGTGATAGCGTCCGGCGTAATGCGGCGTCAGACTGATCGTTTGCTCGTGGCTCAGCTTTGGGAGAAAAAAGCAAAAGTTGCAACAGTTTAGACCTTCGGATCGTGGGAAAAACTGCATTTTGACCAAAATGCTGTACTGAGAATTGTATTCCCCCTACGAAACATAAACTAATGAAGGAGTCATACTTCAATTTTCCCACAATCGCATGAGTAGGCCTCGTGTTTCCAGTCAATTTCACTTAGCATTACTTCCCAAAAGGTCATCTCATCCGGGCTGGATCCTACCTCCGTTTCAATCTCATCTGAACTGGTCTCATGGGGAGCCTCAAAGGGAGCTGTACGTGAGTTGAGGTAGTGAAGCGCCACCACCACGTCAAATTGCCATGGTGACGAGTGAGTTAGAGGAAAAATTCGTCCTCTTTCACATCGAATTTGCAATAGGATTGTCGATGAAGCACTCGTTTATTTAATGTTACATTCGACAACATTACTTCTATTCAATTTCGGGTTGGCTTCGCATCTACCAATAGACCTTAACTAAAAGCTGTAATTCATCTATTGCAAGAAACAGATGTTTGGCTGAATGGGAAAGACTACGCAACCTGGCTCACCTGGAAAATTGCATCTGCCCTGAAACTAGCCCATTGTTCAAGCGTTGGCATTCTTCACGAATGATTCCAATTCTAGTCACTTTATGGACTAGACGCGTTCTAAGCCACACTCCAGCCTGGATAAGAATAACTTTCAGGAAACTAATTTAAGTGAAATTCACTGACATCATGAGGCCTAGTCATATGTTTAAGGGAAAATCTCATCTATCAATCCTTTAATTTTCCTGTAAGACAAGAGGGACAAAGCTCTTATTCAAGAATTGCTGGCAGTCTCGAAATAGACACATCTCAAAAGAAGTGTATAGTTCAACATCCATTTGAAAATGCTTATCTCTATTGTCCCAATAGTCATTTTGTATTCTGAATGCAATTCAAACCCAAACTCTTCCAAATCCCGTCGACTTTCTAAGCGAATATAAGACTCTGGGTTCTCCAATGAAGAAGCCTCGAACACAATGGACCACCACAAGAGAGCAATCTGCTTAATAATCTGGGTCCTGGAGGTTGTGGCAAACAGGCTACCAACGACATTTCAATAGAGCCTTGATAAATGGTAAAAGTTAAGTATACGATTCGATGATGCAGTAGGCACGGAAGGTTGACTAGCCAACAAGCATAGAAAAATAACACTCAAATTTACAACAGATTAGATCAAAAAATATGGTATTGCCTTAAATGAAGTGTAATTTTGTATTGTCCCCAGCACAAATATTAGTTGAACGAGGTTTAACGATATGAGTGTCGTATCTTCCATGTTCTTATATAACTTTACATTGACATTACAAGTATCTAATATATTGCCTTCTTCTCAAATATACCTCGTCTAAAAGTGTATTTCTTATTACTCTAATGCTATTTTCAATCGAGCCCAGAGAATAATTATTTTCAATTAATATTTGTTTTATTCGGCTTCTCATTTTGAAGGAAGTAATGATATCATATTAAAACCTGCTATAAGGTGATCCTAAAAATGCAAAATAATTCTTTACTAAATATAGCTTCTAGTTAAATAAGTAAATTAACTTAACATATATCAATTATTCGATCGCTTGAACACACCAATTGTGCTTCTATAAGTCTGGTCTCAGTACCTTCAATGGGTTTTCGCAAAATGTTTTATGGTTCCGTATCATTCAAAGTAATTATCTTT